GTGGAAACAGACGGGGAAAAAAAATTGAGTAGGGCTGACAGCTCAGCACCAACATTTCATCACCGATCTCTCCATATTTTACTTTTTTTAAAAAAATTTATTTATAACACAGGGGAAAGCAAGTCGAGCTCAACCAGGCGTAAGCCGCCGTTGTGAAAAAAAACCACAAAGCGACACTTTTCCTGTGAAGGAAACCGGCAAGGATGCGGCGGCGATCTTTTCTGCCCACGGGGGCCTTACCGGCGTTGCATTCTGTGCAAGGTTTACACCGCGAGTAGGTGTAGGCGTCGTTGTAGTAGTCCTCATCGCACGGCTCACACTCGGTCGGGGAGGTAAGTGTGCAACGTCTCACTAGTTGCTCTCCTAAAGGCAAGAACATGTTTGTGGATGGAAACAGGGCCTCGTTTCCGCAACCCCAAATGACATCTAATAATAATAATAATAATAATAATAATAATAATAATAATAATAATAATAATAATAATAATAATAATAATAATAATAATAATAATAATAATAAAGTTGGAAGGGACCTTGGAGGTCATCTAGTCCAACCCCCTGCTCAGGCAGGAAACCCTATAGTACCATTTCGGACAAATGGCTGTCCAGTCTCTTCTTAAAAACTTCCAGTGTTGGAGTATTCACCGTTTCTGGAGGCAGGTTGTTCCACTGGTTAATTGTTCTAACTGTCAGGAAGTTTCTCCTTAGTTCTAGGTTCAGTTCTGAGTCCCGGAGGCTCAGTTTCCTTCTCCAGGTCACCCTCCAAACAACCCTGCGAGGTAGGTCGAGGAGTTGCTATCAACCTTCCTTTGAGGAGGGATTAGAACTCGGGGCTCTCTTCAGCTAAGCAGACACTTTGACTATCAGGGAAAGTAATTGGCCAGGCATCCTGCTGAAGACCTGTCAGCTATCACGGTCAAGGAGGATGGGAATTGTAATCCACAGCCCAGCAGTCTCTGTCTGTCTGTCTGTCTGTCTGTCTGTCTGTCTGTCTGTCTGTCTATCTATCTATCTATCTTTATTTCTCTATCTTTATTTCTCTATCTTCATCATCATCACTTCTATCATCTATTTAATTTATCTACCTCTTTGTCTCTATCATCTATCTATATCTATCTATCATCATCATCATCACTTCTATCTATTTAATCTCTCTCTCTCTCTTCTCTCTCTCTCTCTCTCTCTCTCTCACACACACACACACACACACACACACAAACGATAAGTGCCAAACTCCGAATGAAACTCCGCATATTTATGAGGACAGGACAGGGAAAGTTCGCTTTAAAAGGAAATGGAGAAATGAGGGGTAAAAATGCAACGGAAATCTCGAGCGATGGCATGGCTGAAAAATTCAACCTCTCTCTGGTTTCATGGATTCTCACAACCCCCCTTGCCCTCTCTGTCCCCAGTGAGGTACGTACCCCTTCCCTGAACCATTACAGAAGCGATCAACATTGCAATCCAAACCACACCAACCTGATTATTAAGAAAATTAAGAGACGGCATCTAATGAATTGGGACCGTTCCCTCAAATTGTAAGCAGAGAGTCTTTGGATGGGAGACCACCAGGAGTTTCTAACACAGTAAGCTAGATCGGGAGGTCTGAGAAACATCCAGGACAGTGTCAGTGGCAAACCAAAACACGCCAGAGATGTCAGCATTAGATGTCAATTTTAAAATTAATCATTATTTTTTTTTAAAAAAGTGGTAGGGAATCAGGATACCTCCAGAGAAACAGAGAACCCTATGGAAGTTCATGGAGATAAGACAAGGTCCTCCCCATTCCAGCCAAGAAAAATCTGGATTTTTCTTTCCTTTGCAAACAATTGAAAACAATTTTGGATGGAGCAGCCCTAGAAAGCAGCGGATAGAAACAGATAGATAGATAGATAGATAGATAGATAGATAGATAGATAGATAGATAGATAGATAGATAGATAGATAGATAGATAGATAGATAGATAGAGATAGATAGATAGATAGATAGAGACAGACAGACAGACAGACAGACAGACAGACAGACAGACAGATGATAGGTAGCTAGGTAGGTAGATAGATAGATAGATAGATATAAACTTTTTGTCACTTTAGATGTACACTAATCAGCATACATTATAACGAAATTTCGTTGCATTCAGCTCTCAAAGGTAACCACCTCCACTATACACTATACATAAATGTAGAAACGGTGGATTAAGACAAGATCTGCGTTCGAATGCCCCCACATCTTCAGCGTCACTAACCTGCAGGACAATATTTGCAGCATTTCTTATTTGAGAGGACGTATTCATTGTATGAACACGACAGCCCCCAACTCAGAGAGGACCAGAGCGAGGCAGCCAGTGAAATCAACTCCAAACTCGCCTTCATGTCCCGTGCCACAGACTCACAAACGCTGCTGCGCTCGGAGGGAAAAAGCCGCACAACCTCTGTGGTTCTCTGCAAGGCAGGAAGGATCCGCTCCGGCTTTCGTGGGCCTCGGGGGGAATTCCAGATCTGATTTGTCTTGAAGATCTGGTGTTTTCACCCGGGGGGAAAAGCCTGCGTCAGTTCGTACCTCCCCGAGGTGGAAGTTGTCAGCAAAAACAGAGAGCACACCTTTCCTGCCCTGTGCTATAGATGGGCTTTGTAGTCTCCATCAGGCTGAAATAATGCAAACGGCCACCGGAGGGCAGTCCTTTCATGCTCTGAACTATACATGGTCTTTACAAGACTAAAATATTGCAAAGGGCGACCAGGAGGGCACTCTTGTCATGCCCTGTGATGTAGATGGACTTTGTAGTCCCTTTCAGGCCGCTATGCCCCAAAAAACCACAGGAGGGCACTCTTTTCATGCCCTGTGTTATATATGGTCTATGTAGTCCCCTTCAGCCTATCACGCCCAAAATAACCACAGGAGGGCACCCTTATCATTCCCTGTGCTATAGATGGTCTTTGTAGTCCCTGTCAGGCTGCTATGCCCAAAATAACCACAGGAGGGCACTCTTTTCATGCCCTGTGCTATAGATGGTCTTTGTAGTCCCCTTCAGGCTGCCATGCCCAAAATAACCACAGGAGGGCACTCTTTTCATGCCCTGTGTTATATATGGTCTATGTAGTCCCCTTAAGGCTATCACGCCCAAAATAACCACTGGAGGGCTCTCTTTGCATGCCCTGTGTTATATATGGTCTTTGTAGTCCCTATCAGGCTGTTATAGCCCTCTGGGAAGAATTGAGTCCTACGGTTAAAGAAGGAATAGCAGCCACAAAAGGAAATAAACCCTTTTAATATGATTTTAAGATGATTATTATTTATCTATTGAAGCTATTGAATGCTATTAAGGGTCAAAAAACAGTGCCATCCCGTGGTTGAAGCAGGTATAGCATCCATTAAAACACTTTTCAATGGCATTTTAAGGTTATTCATTATTAAAACCTTATTAATATTAATAGGGCATCATAGTCCTCCTTAACTAGGTTTAAGGCTTTTGAAGCAGATTTCTTCTTCCGCGCCTGCGTTGCAGCAAACGGGCCTCCCCTGGCCCTATTAATAAGGTGTTAATACCGTTAATAAAGAGAGAGAATACCGTAATCTTAAAATGCCATTAAAAAGCATTTATTTCTTTCGGCGGCAGCAATACCCGTTTTTGACCACAGGAGGGCGCGGTTTTCCGTCCCATAGCTTTAGCTTGGAGTCCATGGCAGGCTTTTTTTAATGGCCCCCATCCTATAGCCAAGGGACGGAAAACTCTTGTCAAATCAGACACTGCAGCCACAAAAACAAATAAACCTCTTTAGTGGCGTTTTAAGATGATTATTCTTTATTATTAAAACCTTATTAATATTAATAAGCCACGATAGGCCTTAACTCGGTTGAAGACTCGAACCAGGATTTCTTCTGCGCCCGTGTCGCCCCGACCGGGCCTCCCGTCGCCCCGTTAATAGTAATAATAAGGCGTTAACAACAAAAATAGAGCCGAATAACCTTAAAATGCCATTAAAAAGTATTTATTTCTTTCGGCGGCCGCAATACCCGTTTTGACCACAGGAGGGCACAGTTTTCCGTCCCATAGCATTAACTTTGAGGCCTTTTGCGAGAAAGCTAAGCCTCAAAGCGCAGAGCGTCGCCACTCTATGCTCCTCCGAAAGGGAAGGGCCGCTTCCCTCGGCCTTCTGCGCATGTCCGCCAGCTGGTTCTTCACGAGTAATCTCCGAGAGGCCTTCTCGGCATGGCGGACTTCCTGTCCCTCGATATCGGCCGTCCCCCAGGTCCTGTGAGAAAAGGACCTTTCCATCATGGCCGACTTCCGGTCCTTCGTTCTTAATCGTTCCCCCAACTTCCTTTCACAGAAGACCTCCTCGGCATGGCGGACTTCCTGTCCGGACAAATCCGCCGTCCGCCAGGGCCTTTGGAAAACGACCTTTCCCATCGTGGTGGTGGTCGAAGGAGGTAAGGAGATGGGCGAGCGGGCCGGGTTGTATCACCCTCGGGCTGAAACTTCCGGCAGGGCAAGGGAATGGGGGGACTCGGTCCAGAACCTGCCTCGTTCCAGAAGGAGGAGGGGGAAAATGCAGGGTTGGGGGTTCAGGAAGGCTGCCCTTGTCTCGAGGCACCGACGGTTCTTCCAGCCTGGTTTTTGGGGGCGGAGGGGGGGGAGAGAGAATGCAGAACACATCTGTCCGTCTGCAGAAAGGGTCGCAGAAATAGCATCGCTTGGCGCAACCTGGAGTAAACAAAACCGGTTTTAGGCCATCATGTCAGGGTAACCAGTGTTTCTCAACCTTGACCATTTTAAGGCATGTGGACTTCAACTCCCAGAATTCCACAGCCAGCAATGCTGGCTGTGGAATTCTGGGAGTTGAAGTCCACATGCCTTAAAATGGTCAAGGTTGAGAAACACTGGGGTAGGCCAAGTCTTCAGCAACACGTGCTTTGAAAAGCAGCACAAGGAACTCGTCTCTCTGGCTTTTCCTTTGAGAGTCGGTCTCAGTTTATGGTTGGGACCTCCTCCCAGTTGTTGTGTTTGTGAAGTTGTGCTTCATCACTTGCTGCAATGCCGCTTGTCAGTTCTACCTTTTCTGCTTTCTTTCCAAAGGTCCCAAAGCGCAGACGAAATTTAAGCGGCTCACGTTACACCGAATAAAATGGGATGAGCGGACGTCAAACACAAAAGGAGATGGTAAGAAAGTGCACTTCTGCTCGGGGCCAGCCTGGAAATGCTTATCAAGAAGTGATTAAGTCAATAAAAGTGATTGACTGTGGGCTACCAGAATGCTGAAACTGAGAAATAAACGACTCCGCAGGGTGATGCGCTGGAAGCACATCTTGTAAGCTCTGGCAAGGGCCCCACTGGAACGGGGGGAAGGGGAGGAGGCGAGGTCGGGGTCCAGGAAGGCTGCACCTGGCTCAGGGACCCGCTGGTTCTTCCAGCTCTGTCCATCTGCAGAACAGGTCACTAAGAAAAGTGACCGGTTCTGGAAGGCAGTACGCTGCAGGCCCCACTCCCAGCATCATCTTCCGAAGATGTAGAACAGACAGAAAAGCGCCTGGTGCCATTTCTTCTTTTGGGGCTTGCAGGCAAACCTCGGACCTCCTGCACCCAGGCTTCCTTCGAAAGGGCCTGGAGAAGCAGAGAAGTTCTCCAGTTGGAAACACACTGAAGATGGAGCTTTGAGTGCCAGTTGTTGTTCTGTCAGCTGTTGTATTGTTTTCTATTGAATAGATTTGTATGAATCTATTTCACTATTGGTCTCGGTTCTCCTAAGAAGTCAATAGACTTATAGCAATTTTAAAGTAATTAAATGACCTAGAAAGGGGCAGCCCTCTTTTACATCGAGCTGGTTCTGAAATTGAAAGACTAAAAGGAAGTTGGGGGCAACTGTAGGGAACTTGGGTGGCTTCATGAACCGGTCTTTTACTGTCGCCAAAAGTTCGCTTCTTTTCACGAGCTACTGAGCTTGCAGAAGTCTATATCCTGCCTTTTCTAAAGGAAGGGCAGAATTCTCACCTTCTGTTTGAATAAAGGATGTTTCCGATCTGACCGATCTTGAATGTACTTTTGAATAGACAAATCCATCTTCAGTTGTTTCCCCATTCTTACACCCTAAGCAGTTTATTTTTCTTGCAGATGATGAGGAATCTGTGAAAAAAAACCAACAAACGTTCCCTGGTTTTGGAGGTGAGTAATATTTATGGTTTAACTGAGGCATTTGGTGATTCCCAGTGTCACTAAGAAAGTCCTGGTTTTTATTATGCCCCCTTAGTGACAGGACAGAGAAACACCTTCAGGAACTGAACTGTGGGTACTCTGTACAATTGTCCCTTCAGAGCACCCCTCCTCTTTAATTCAAAAAGTGGGAGATGTCAGGACTCACTCTAAAGGGTTACATCAGCTAGCCGCGGCTTGTAAAGCACGGTTTGTGTTTTTAGCATGTTGTACTCAACCAATCCCTCGGGGCTTCACCAGCAAGCCACGGGCAAGGAAAGAGGAATTATCTGCATTATGCGAGCTTCCAATCGATGCAATGCATCCCTCCATACGTAGGCTGGCTCAGAATCTCTCCTGCCTCTCTCCGTGTCCTTCTAGGGCACGGCAAAGGAGCGGAGGTTTGGCAAGGTGAAGTTCAAGCAGTGTCCTACTGAAAACATGGCACGGGGGCATTTTAAGAAACACGGCACTGAGCATTAGTGGGATCTGGTTCTGAGTGAGTCAGTCCTAGAACCCACAGACTGACGGCCTTTTCTAGAGCCCCTTCTCACATTTCTGGGTGTTTTGACATAAAGAGCAAGAACTGAGCAGAAACATTAGACTCTAAGCCCCCCCCTCATTCCCACAAATTCCTCACAGTACAATGCATACAATTAAAGGAAATATTTTTCAGATCCAAATCACAGGTTTTGATTTTAATGTTTGGCTTTGGACTAACAGGACACACGTGTGAGAGAAATCTTCAACTTCCCCACTGCCACAAGTACACCTTCACTCAGTCTTGGGGTTTTATCATTCCTGCCCTGCAGGAGTGCCAAGGAGAGGATATTAAAATGTCTGGCTCTAAAAAATGCTATTCTACTCTTAGGAAAAGCTCAGGTCTTTCAGATACCTTGCTGGTCCCCACACACCCCATTTAATGCATTTTCTTGCTGCAGAGAGAGATTCTGTTAAGTTCTAGCTGGAACTCCACGTCTCTTATTCTGTTGGTAACCGCTTTGCTTGGGTTGGTTGTAGCCTAGGGATATTTAAAAACAGTGAGGAAAGTCCACAGGAGGCCCGCTTATGCTCCCGTCGCCTGTTTCCTGGGAGAGGGGAAGTTGTTTATTGAGACTAAAGCGGTCAAGCCCTCTGGGCAGAATTGAGTCCTACGGTTAAAGAAGGAATAGCAGCCACAAAAGGAAATAAACCCTTTTAATATGGTTTTAAGATTATTATTATTTATCTATTGAAGTTATTGAATGCTATTAAGGGTCAAAAAACAGTGCCATCCCGTGGTTGAAGCAGGTAGAGGAGCCATTAAAAAACTTTTCAATGGCATTTTAAGGTTATTCATTATTATTAAAACCTTATTAATATTAATAGGGCATCATAGTCCTCATTTTAGCTAGGTTTTGAAGCTAGGCTTTTGAAGCAGATTTCTTCTTCCGCACCTGCGTTGCAGCAAACGGGCCTCCCCTGGCCCTATTAATAAGGTGTTAATACCGTTAATAAAGAGAGAGAATACCGTAATCTTAAAATGCCATTAAAAAGCATTTATTTCTTTCGGCGGCAGCAATACCCGTTTTTGACCACAGGAGGGCGCGGTTTTCCGTCCCATAGCTTTAGCTTGGAGTCCATGGCAGGCTTTTTTTAATGGCCCCCATCCTATAGCCAAGGGACGGAAAACTCTTGTCAGATCAGACACTGCAGCCACAAAAACAAATAAACCTCTTTAATGGCGTTTTAAGATGATTATTCTTTATTATTAAAACCTTATTAATATTAATAAGCCACAATAGGCCTTAACTCGGTTTAAGACTCGAACCAGGATTTCTTCTGCGCCCGTGTCGCCCCGACCGGGCCTCCCGTCGCCCCGTTAATATTAATAATAAGGCGTTAAGAACAAAAATAGAGAAGAATAACCTTAAAATGCCATTAAAAAGTATTTATTTCTTTCGGCGGCAGCAATACCCATTTTTGACCACAGGAGGGCAGGGTTTCCCGTCCCATAGCATTAACGTGGAGGCCGTCGTAGGCCTTTTGCCCAGGATCGGGACAGCGAGAAGCTAAGCCCCAAAGCGCAGAGCGTCAGCCGAAGCGTCGCCACTCTATGCTCCTCCGAAAGGGACGGGCCGCTTCCCTCGGCCTTCTGCGCATGTCCGCCGGCTGGTTCTTCAGGAGTAATCTCCGAGAGGCCTTCTCGGCATGGCGGATTTCCTGTCCCTCGATATCGGCCGTCCCCCAGTTCCTGTGGGGAAAAGGACCTTTCCATCATGGACGACTTTCGGTCCGTTCTTAGTCATCCTCCAACTTCCTTTTCCGGCGACCTTCTAGGCACGGCGGACTTCACGTCCGAGCAACGAGTTAGGCCGTAAACTTTAAACCCCATTAAAAAGGCTTATGTCTCTTGGCGGCCGCAATACCCGTTTTTCGCCACAGGAGGGCACAGTTTTCCGTCCCATAGCCTTTTCGACGGCCTCCATGCCGCTATCGCTAAGGGAGGGAAAACAGTGCCCTCCCGTGGGCCAAGCCGGGTATAGCAGCCACCAAAAGAAATAAACCCTTTAAAATGGCAAAAGGGCCTCCCGTCGCCCTATTAATATTAATAAGGGGTTAATAATAAAGACGGGGGAAAAATAAATAACCTTAAAATCCCATTTAAAAGGTTTATTTGTTTCGGCCATCCCCCAGTGCATGGGGAATCGACCTTCCTATTATGGGCGACTTCCCGTCCGTTCGCTGCGGTTGTCCCCCGGTTGCCTTAGACGACGACCTTCCCAGTACGGCCGTGGTGGTGGTCGAAGGAGGTAAGGAGATGGGCCGTAAACTTAAAACCCCATTAAAAAGGCTTATATGTCTCTTGGCGGCCATGCCGAGAAGGTCGTTCTGCCTAAGGCTGCCTTCTGATGACTTTGCCCCTAAAATAACCAGCATAGTCTTTCATATGTTGGGAAAGCCTGACTTTTTTGCCCTCCTTTGGGCAAGGAAAGAGTAGGGCCTGAGGTTTGACCCATTTTGCGGTCAGAAAAGAGTTAGGTCGACNACTCTTTTCATGCTCTGTGTTATATATGGTCTATGTAGTCCCTTTCAGGCTGCTATTCCCAAAATAACCACAGGTGGGCACTCTTTACATGCCCTGTGCTATAGATGGTCTTTGTAGTCCCCTTCAGGCTGCCATGCCCAAAATAACCAGAGGAGGGCACAATTTGCATTCCCTGTGTTATATATGGTCTATGTAGTCCCTTTCAGGCTGCTATTCCCAAAATAACCACAGGTGGGCACTCTTTCCATGCCCTGTGCTATAGATGGTCTTTGTAGTCCCCTTCAGGCTGCCATGCCCAAAATAACCAGAGGAGGGCACAATTTGCATTCCCTGTGCTATAGATGGTCTTTGTAGTTCCTTTCTGTCCGCTATGCCCAAAATAACCACAGGAGGGCACTTTTTTCATGCCCTGTGTTATCTATGGTCTATGTAGTCCCTTTCAGGCTATCACGCCTAAAATAACCACAGGAGGGCTCTTGTTGCATGGCCTGTGTTATATATGGTCTTTGTAGTCCCTGTCAGGCTGCTATGCCCAAAATAACCACAGGAGGGCACCCTTTTCATGCCCTGTGCTATAGATGGTCTTTGTAGTCCCTGTCAGGCTGCTATGCCCAAAATAACCACAGAGGGGCACTCTGCATGCCCTGTGCTATAGATGGTCTTTGTAGTCCCTGTCAGGCTGCTATGCCCAAAATAACCACAGGAGGGCACTCTTTTCATGCCCTGTGCTATATATGCTCTTTGTATTCCCTTCAGGCTGTTATACCCAAAATAACCACAGGAGGGCAAAAGCTCCAGGAAAGCAAAAGCAAAAGAGATCTTGCAAAACTCAGCCAATCTGCTTCCGCCACGTGACCAGGCACCAAAAAAACCACTTCCGGTTTCTTCTCTCCAAGCCTCGTGGCTGCAGACGCCTGGGTTTGGTCGCGGGTTTGCAGGTCTAACAGTAAGTCCCCTTTCTGAATTAGTTCTTTTTTCTGAACACTGGCTAAACAAACGTTCGTACCTGGGGGAATTACCTGTATATAGCCATTTGTGTTAAAATTAAGAATGAGGTCCCACTTGAATAACTGCACCTGCTTTTAATTAAACAGCCAGTTGCATGTCCGCTGCGTTTAAACATGGCGACGTTGTTTAAGAGCCAATGATGGACTCTGGGGCTCCCTTTTTCTTCCAGGCACCCAGTTGAAAGGTTTTTTTAAATTAAAATAAAATGAAATAAACTCCTAGGGTTTTCTTTGCATTTGTTCCAATTTACTGTGCACTTGAATAACTGCACCTGCTTTTAATTAAACAGTCGGTTGCATTTAAACATGGAGACCTTGTTAAAGAGCCACTGAAGGACTCTGTGGCTCCCTTTTTCTTCCAGGCACCCAATTTATTTATAAAATAAAATAAAATAAACTCCTAGGGTTTTACTTTGCATTTGTTCCAATTTACTGTGCATTTGAATAACTGCCCCCTGCTTTTAATTAAACAGCCAGTTGCATGTCCGCTGCATTTAAACATGGAGAGATTGTTTAAAAGCCACTGATGGACTCTGTGTCTCCCTTTTTTTCCAGGCACCCAGTTCGCCACCTCCGCTTCAGCTCCCACAGCCTCATCACGGCCAACATCCCCAATGGGGCCAGCATCAAGGATGACGACTTGACCGCTGGCGGAAGGGAAGAGCTGACCCTCACAGTGGTACTTTTGATCTTAACCAGCAGGAGACGCCCTGTGACACCACTCTCAGGCTTGCTAGACTACAGTTCCCAGCAGCCTTAGCTAGACAATATTGCGGGACGCTGGGAGGCAGTCCCCCAAGTTGGCCTTCCTCAGTTTAAACCAAGGGTCTTCAAACGTGGCCCTTTTATGACTTGTGGACTTCAATTCCCAGAATTCCTCAGCCCTGGCTAGGGAATTCTGG